TCAATAGACTATGGATTGATTTCTAATGATTTATCACATAATTAAATCGCTTATTCAAATTAATTTAAATTTATTAAGCCATAAACTATAAATAATTAAATAAAAATTACTTTTGTTTTTTAAAGTTACATCAGATTCAGGATTTATGTTAATTATTATATCAAAACATTCAATAACTTATTAATATTGGCCACATTTTATTAGGACATCAACTATCAAATTTAGACTATTTTTACTTTTGATTTATAAGATATCAATAGACTATGGATTGATTTCTAATAATTTATCACAAAATTAAATGGCTTATTCTTATTGACCAAATTATAGTAGGAAATCAACTATCAAATTTAGATTATTTTTACTTTTGATTTATAAGATATCAATAGACTATGGATTGATTTCTAATGATTTATCACAAAATTAAATAGCTTATTCTTATTGACCAAATTATAGTAGGATATCAACTATCAAATTTAGACTAATTTTACTTTTCATTTATATAATCTCATTAGATTATGGATTGATTTCTAATGATTTATCACATAATTAAATCGCTTTTTCAAATTAATTTTAATGTTTTAAGTAATCAACTATTTAAATTAAAATTTAATTTACTTTTCATTTTTAAGATTTCATCAGATTATGGATTGATTTCCATAATTTTATCGCATTTTTAAATGACTTATTAATAAATACCATGATATATTAAGCAACCAACTATTTAAATTAACATAAAATATACATATGGTTTTTAAAGTATCAGAAGATTAAGGATTTATTGTAATTATTTTTTCAAAACATTCGACAACCTTTTCATATAGGCCATATTGTATTAGGACATTAACTATCAAATTTAAATTATTTTTACTTTTCATTGATATAGTCTCAATAGATTATGGATTAATTTCCAATAATTTGTTACATAATTCAATGGCTTATTCATATTGACCATTATTTGATAAGTCATAAACTATTAATATTTAAATTAAATTTACTTATTTATTGAAAGTATTATTCTTCAAATTAAGCAAAGATGAAATTTATTTATTCAAAACAATCAAAATCCTAAGAAAGGTAGCCACATTAAATTAAAGTATTAACTATGTTATTTCTATTTATTGTATTTTTCATTTATTGAATCTCAATAGATTATGGATTGATTTCTAATGATTTATCACATAATTAAATGGCTTATTCTTATTGGCCACATTTTATTAGGACATCAACTATCAAATTTAGATTAGTTTTACTTTTCATTTTTAAGATCTCATTAGATTATGGATTGATTACTAATAATTTATCACAAAACTAAATGGCTTATTCTTATTGACCACATTTTATTAGGACATCAACTATCAAATTTAGTTTTATTATACTTTTCATTTTTAAGATCTCAATAGATTATGGTTTGATTTCTAATGATTTATCACATAATTAAATGGCTTATACTTATTGGCCACATTGTATTAGGACATCAACTATCAAATTTAGATTAATTTTACTTATCATTTATAAGAAAGCAATATAATATGGAGTGATTTCAATTAATTTATCCCATAATTAAATGGCTTATTCATATTTATGATTATTTGATAAATCATAAACTATAAATATTTAAATTAAATTTACTTATTTATTGAAATTATTCTTCAAATTAAGCATTGATAAGATTTATTTCTTCAAAACAATAAAAATCCTAGTAAAGGTAGCTATTTTATTTTAAGGTATTAACTAATATTTTTCTATTTATTGTATTTTTCATTTATTAGATCTCAATAGATTAAGGATTGATTTCTAGTGATTTATCACATAATTAAATAGCTTATTCATATTGACCATTATTTGATAAGTCATAAACTATAAATAATTAAATGAAAATTACTTTTGTTTTTTAAAGTTACATCAGATTAAGGATTTATGGTAATTATTTTATCAAAACATTCAATAGCTAATTCATATTGGCCATATTGTATTAGGACATCAACTATCAAATTTAGATTAATTTTACTTTTCATTTATATAATCTCAATAGATTATGGATTGATTTCTAATAATTTATCACATAATTAAATGGCATATTCATATTTATGATAATTTGATAAAACCTAAACTATAAATATTTAAATTAAATTTACTTATTTATTGAAATTATTCTTCAAATTAAGCATTGGTCATATTTTTTTCTTCAAAACAATAAAAATCCTTGTAAAGGGGTTCATATAATTTTAAGGTATTAACTAATATTTTTCTATTTATTGTATTTTTCATTTATTAGATCTCAATAGATTAAGGATTGATTTCTAATGATTTATCACAAAACTAAATGGCTTATTCTTATTGACCACATTTTATTAGGACATCAACTATCAAATTTAGATTAGTTTTACTTTTCATTTTTAAGATCTCATTAGATTATGGATTGATTACTAATAATTTATCACAAAACTAAATGGCTTATTCTTATTGACCACATTTTATTAGGACATCAACTATCAAATTTAGATTAATTTTACTTTTCATTTATATAATCTCAATAGATTATGGATTGATTTCTAATGATTTATCACATAATTAAATGGCTTATTCTTATTGGCCTTATTATATTAGGACATCAACTATCAAATTTAGATTAGTTTTACTTTTCATTTTTAAGATCTCATTAGATTATGGATTGATTACTAATAATTTATCACAAAACTAAATGGCTTATTCTTATTGACCACATTTTATTAGGACATCAACTATCAAATTTAGTTTTATTATACTTTTCATTTTTAAGATCTCAATAGATTATGGTTTGATTTCTAATGATTTATCACATAATTAAATGGCTTATACTTATTGGCCACATTGTATTAGGACATCAACTATCAAATTTAGATTAATTTTACTTATCATTTATAAGAAAGCAATATAATATGGAGTGATTTCAATTAATTTATCCCAAAATTAAATGGCTTATTCATATTTATGATTATTTGATAAATCTTAAACTATGAATATTTAAATTAAATTTACTTATTTATTGAAATTATTCTCCAAATTAAGCATTGGTCAGATATATTTCTTCAAAACAATAAAAATCCTTGTAAAGGGGTTCATATAATTTTAAGGTATTAACTAATATTTTTCTATTTATTGTATTTTTCATTTATTAGATCTCAATAGATTAAGGATTGATTTCTAATGATTTATCACATAATTAAATGGCTTATTCATATTTATGATTATTTGATAAGTCATAAACTATAAATAATTAAATTAAAATTACTTTTGTTTTTTAAAGTTACATCAGATTAAGGATTTAGGGTAATAATTTTATCAAAACATTCAATAACTTATTAATATTGGCCTTATTATATTAGGACATCAACTATCAAATTTAGATTAATTTTACTTTTCATTTATATAATCTCAATAGATTATGGATTGATTTCTAATGATTTATCACATAATTAAATGGCTTATTCTTATTGACCACATTTTATTAGGACATCAACTATCAAATTTAGATTAATTTTACTTTTCATTTATATAATCTCAATAGATTATGGATTGATTTCTAATAATTTATCGCATAAATTAATGGCTTTTTCAAATTGATGAATATTTGATAAATCTTAAATTATAAATATTAAAATTAAATTTACATTTTAATTGAAATTATTCTCCAAATTTAACATTGATGGGATTTATTTTTTCAAAACAAGAAAAACCATAGTAAGGGTAGCCACTTTATTCTAAGGTATTAACTAATATTTTTCTATTTATTGTATTTATCATTTATTAGATCTCAATAGATTAAGGATTGATTTCTAATAATTTATCGCATAAATTAATGGCTTATTCATATTTATGATTATTTGATAAGTCATAAACTATAAATAATTAAATTAAAATTACTTTTGTTTTTTAAAGTTACATCAGATTAAGGATTTAGGGTAATAATTTTATCAAAACATTCAATAACTTATTAATATTGGCCTTATTATATTAGGACATCAACTATCAAATTTAGATTTACTTTACTTTTCATTTATAAGATCTCAATAGATTATGGATTGATTTCTAATAATTTATCACACAATTAAATGGCTTATTCTTATTGGCCACATTTTATTAGGACATCAGCTATCAAATTTAGATTAATTTTACTTTTCATTTTTAAGATCTCAATAGATTATGGATTGATTTCTAATAATATATCGCAGAAATAAATGGCATATTCATATTTATGATTATTTGATAAATCTTAAACTATAAATAATTAAATTAAAATTACTTTTGTTTTTTAAAGTTACATCAGATTAAGGATTTAGGGTAATAATTTTATCAAAACATTCAATAACTTATTAATATTGGCCTTATTATATTAGGACATCAGCTATCAAATTTAGATTAATTTTACTTTTCATTTTTAAGATCTCAATAGATTATGGTTTGATTTCTAATGATTTATCACATAATTAAATGGCTTATTCTTATTGGCCACATTTTATTAGGACATCAACTAACAAATTTAGATTAATTATACTTTTCATTTTTAAGATCTCAATAGATTATGGTTTGATTTCTAATGATTTATCACACAATTAAATGGCTTATTCTTATTGGCCACATTTTATTAGGACATCAACTATCAAATTTAGACTAATTTTACTTATAATTTCTAAGATCTCAATAGATTATGGATTGATTTTTAACGATTTATCAAATAATTAAATGGCTTCTTCTAATTTCTATTAATTTGTTAAGTCATAAACTATAAATAATTAAATTAAAATTACTTTTGTTTTTTAAAGTTACATCAGATTAAGGATTTAGGGTAATAATTTTATCAAAACATTCAATAACTTATTAATATTGGCCTTATTATATTAGGACATCAACTATCAAATTTAGATTAATTTTACTTTTGATTTATAAAATTTCATTAGATTATGGATCGATTTCCAAAGCTTTATCAAATTTCTCTAATGCTTTTAAGTAATCTTTCTTTGTTAATAAAATTAAACCTAATTTTTAATCAAATAAAGTACCAAGTCCAAATATTGCCAGACGAGAGTTTTTTTTTAAATTTATTGAATAATCTATATAATTAAACGCCTTATCTTCCATACCAATATAGATTAAACATATTCCTAAAATAATTATTATTATTTTTTTACCCTTTGCTGCTATTGTTTCAGCATGATTAATATCTATCATTAAACATTCATCATAAACACAAATGGCCTCATGATATTTTCCTTAAGTTCTTAAGCAATTACCTAATTGATAAGAATATATGTATTTACCATAGCAAAATTTATATTATAAGTTAGATTAATTAATTTCAATTGCTTTAACATAATAATATTATGCTTCATAAAATTATTAAGTCTCTTTTAAACATTCACCTTATTAAATATTCATAAATTTTACCTATTCCAAAATAAGCATCCGAATTATAATAATTGATTGAAATGCATTAAGAATAAAAATCCTTAGCTTTCTAATAATATTTTTAATCTCTTAATATATCAGCTAAATTATTTTATTATTTGATATACCTATTTTTTAGTATGATAGTTCATGATTTGGACTAATTTTGATAATATCTTTGTATAATTACTTTGCATCTTCAAACTTATTCAATATAGTTAAAGTATTAGCTAATAATAATAATAACTATTAACCTTGTTAATACATAAATTCTAAATTGTTAGGATCAACTTATTATAAATTATCATCTAGTTCTATTGATTATTGTACTAGAGTTTATGTTTATTTAAGCTCTAGAATATCTTGATCTTAAATCTCCAATTACTAGTTTTGAAACAGATCTTATTCAAAATTTGGATTTAATTATTCTTATTGAATAAAGTCTTAAGTTAGAAATTCCTTCTTTTTTTTTATTTGATTTTCAATTAAAGCCTTAACTAAAGGGACAATTTGATGAACCATTTAATTAGCAAAATCTGGGATTTGAAATGAGGGTTATGAAATATTATATTAAATAGTTGTCGATTATTCTGATATTAGGAAATTTTAATTAAAGGTATTTAAGGTATCATCGATTATGGAGTCAAGAAAATTATCAATTTTATTGAAGGAGATCTAAAATAATTAATTAAATATATACATCGATATTTTACTGTAATTCTAAATAACAAGCCTCTATTTGTGATTAAATATCCTGGCTAGTGGCTTTTTACTTAGCCTATATGAAATCTTCGTTGTTTTGAATCATTTTTCTTTATTTAATAAAATTGGGATTAATAGAAAATGCTTTGAAATGTGAAAACAGTATTAATCAGAAACCACATTAAAATATTTTTTGATTTAATAACAACAATACTATATATATTAATTCGTCGATTTA